TTGTAGAGCACAAGAATTGAAGTCATGGAATAACCATGTCTCAGCACTGACTAATGCCAGGGGCTTTCTAAATACCTCTGTCCCCTGTAGTTTGGCAACTGTGTCCGCCCTGACAAGGGAAAGTATCCTCTGCTTGAAGAACTCTGAGATATGCTCCTTTGATATGCTCTCAGTAGCACGATGTTCTTTGGAAGAGTTTCGGGAGGCAACCTGTGGAGCAAAGGGGCCACGAATAGGCCTTACTCTTGGACCGTTCAGCACACTAAGGGGTCACATTTGGTATGCAGAAAAGTGGTGTCTGAATAGGGATATGTACTCTCTCCCTTTTCTAATTTTGTTAAATTATTATCACTGCTAGGAATTTGGGTAACTGGGTGGGAGTGGTATCCTCTTGAGTGCCTTTGGTAATAGGAGTTTGTAGTCATGACAGTGCCCAGGTTCTCAACCCTTGCTGCAATCAATTAGAGGCATCAAGAAGTGCATTTGATCCTAGGGAGCAGTGGATCTGAAAATGTCCAGTCATGGCTGCCAGCATAGATGTTTCCCTAACTGTGGTATTAGACCCACAGACACACTTTTCCTAATTTCTAATGATTCCCTCTCTTCATCTGCTTCTGAAACCTTTCACTCTGTCCCCTGGTTCCTCCCTGTGGTTCCTGTGCCTGTCCAGATGAGCTCTATGCCCAGAAACTGAAGTACAAGGCCATTAGCGAGGAGCTGGACCACGCCCTCAATGACATGACCTCTATGTAACTATCTGATAGCAGAGTGGGGCTGGGATCTTGGCTTGTGGGTGGGTGGGGATACAGACTATGCATAGTGTGCTTTGGTTTTGTCCTTTGGAAACTAGAATCTCTACTCTTATCTTTAAAACATTGGTGCTGGTTACTTGTTTGGTAAAAGCCGGTGGTGGGGGGGAGTATTTAATCTTTAATTAGTGGTAGAGCCTTGATTGACCTTGGTGTAATTTCTTTACTTTGTATTCGTAGTTTCTTCATTACACTGTAATTTTTTAATTTGTTTCTCAAATTTAGTCTTCTCAAAAGGGATACTGCTAAAGGTAGATCCATACAACTAAGGAAATAGGACCCAGAGAGCCAGCGACTTGGGCTCTAACACATGATAACAAAATTCAGATCTCCTGGGTATATTTGATCTGTGCCCTGATATTAAAGTTCAGGGGAAACACCTAAGATGGGAAATACCAAATTCACCTAAGAATTGAGCTAAATCCTAGAAGCAAGCCAAGTAGTAAACAGCACCAAAAAGAGTTGGGGGCTTCATCTGTTTGCTGTGGATCCCTGATCCTTGATGCTAATCTGCCTCTTTGTATTTTTCCCACTAACCCTGAAAAGAAGCCAAATGTCTCAGGCTGAAGTGTCTGGCTCTCTTTTATTCCTGCTGCCACCTCTTCCCTTTTTTCCTCTTCCTTTCTCCCACATTGCTATGTAGGTTGTTGCTAGTCCTTCTCACTTAGAGTATCCTTACTTTTTCATACAGATAATTGTCACCGTTTCTGCTCTGTTCTGGATCTGCCCCCTTTCCTCGGGGAACCCAACACCCCACTCGCTCTGGATTCCATTTGGGTCAGCCTGGCTGGACCCCAATACATTAGGATTTGAGGGGGCACAAAGCAACTTATGTATTCTCTTCTATCCCCACCCCAAATTAAAATGTTAAGCTGTTGGAAATCTCATGCCACCCTGCATTTGTGTCATTGACAGAGCTGTCGCTGTCCCCAAGAAGGAGCCTTGGGTGTGTGATGTGGAAAACAGCTATCTTAGGCTCCCCCTCCTCTGACTTATATAATCAAAGCCACTTCTGTGTGTGTCTGTTTTTTTCCTGACATTTAAACTGGGCAATCTGAGTCTACCAGAGCAGTAGACTAGTAGAGGTTCCTTAGGTAGGAATTCTAGTCTTATTCCTCAAGCTGAAAAAGATTATCTAAGTCCTTTACATCAAAGTTCTTAAAGCATCCTGCCTACAATGTTTCCGTTGTCTCTTCAGATCCTCCTGCAATGTAGTAAGGTTGAGAGACCATTGAAGTGCTTCTCAGTACACCTTCTCTACCCTTTTACCAGTGGTTCAAATGGTGCATCCTCAGAACATCCAGTGAACCCATGTATATTATGGCTAAGATTGAGTGATTGTATCATCCCAAGTTACAGAAAAATACATAGTAGATAGAATTCTCAACAGTTTTACATTATCTTCTTTAAACTTTACTTACATATTTGAGGCTTGCTAGCATGTGCTAGCAGGATATAAGATAAGTGAGAAATTATTATGGGAAAGTCTAAAACAACCAGTCATGATTATTTCAAATAATGTGCACATGGGGGTAATGATTTATTACATATGCAGATTTCTGCTAGTGAAATTGTTCTTGGTTCATATTGTGGAATTGCATATCAACATTTCAGAAACTCCTGTTCCAATATACACAGGAGAGATATCTGGATATTGTAGCTGTCAGTTATACTAACCTAAACACCTAATTGTACTTCAATTTCTCAGCAGAGTACATATTTAAAACTTGCTTTTCTTTTAAACAGATATAGCCAGTTAAAGAATTTTTCCCTAATCTAAAACTTCGAGTCTCATATCAAATTCAGGTTTCTTTCTGTTCATACCATTTCTTTCTGCCACGTATCCTTTGATATTAAGGTACAGATTCATTTATCCAACTGACACTTATTAGTGTCTTCTAGATATAGGGTTTTAGGATGGGGACAGAAATAAAGATAGAGACACCATTCCTAACCTCAGGGTGCTCACAATCAAGTAGGAAAGAGAACATACATAAAGCTGAAAATTCTGTGTGATGAGTGCCACAAATAATGAAGTGTTGTGAGAGTTCAGTGGGGGGAAAGAGTCCAGTGGGAATGATTAGAAAAGACTCATGGAAGAAGGCAAGCGATACATAATAAACAGGTTAAAACTTGCCTATTCATTTTCACTGGGTTCCAAACGATTGGATTTTCCAGACTTGAGTTGAATGATACTGAATATCGTGCATTCTGTTTAAAGAGATAACAAAATAGGCGGGGCATGGTGGTTCATGCCTGTAATTCCTCAGCTTTGGAAGGCTGAGGTGGGAGGATTGAAGCCAGGAGTTCAACAGCAGCCTGGGCAAAATAGCAAGACCTCACCTCTACAAAAATATTTTTTAAAAAAGCTAGACATGGTAGTGCACACCTGTAGTCCTAGCTACTCCAGAGGCTGAGGCAGGAGGCTCGCTTAAGCCCAGGAGTTTGGTTGCAGTGAGGTATGATGATGCCACTGCACTCTAACCAGGGCAACAGAGCGAGACTCTGTCTCAAAAAAAAAAAGAAAAAAAGTTAATTTGGTAGCTCAGTTAAAGTATTAGAGGCCGGGAGCAGTGGTTCCTATAATCCTAGCACTTGGGGAGGCCGAGGCAGGAGGATCGCTTGAGCTCAGGAGTTCAAGACCAGCCTGAACAAGAGCAAGACCCCATCTCTGTTAAAAAAAGAAAAGGAAAGGAAAAAAAAAAAAAGAAAATATTAGAATGTGAGCAGATTAGCAAAGTTATTTACTAAGATGATGATTCCCAAATGTCATTTATATCATTTCTGATGGCTTTTGTCATATTTGCATGCTGCTGACATTGTTTTCTTCAAATCTACTCTTGTTTCTGAAATTCTTTTATTTTACACAATTCTGGGATTTTTTTGTTGTTGTTTTTGTTGGTTTTTTTTTTGAAACAAGGTCTTGTTATCACCTGGGCTAGAGTGCAGTGGCATGATCATAGCTCACTGCAACCTCAAACTCCTGGGCTCAAATGATCCTCCTCCCTCAGCCTCCTGAGTAGCTGGGACTGTAGGCACTTGCCACCACACCCGGCTAATTTTTCTATTATTTGTAGAGTTGGGGGTCTTGCTCTTACTCAGGCTGGTTTCAAACTCCTGGCCTCAAGCAGTCCTCCGCCTCAGTCTCCCAGAGTGCTAGGATTACAAGCATGAGCCACTGTGCCCAGCCTCACAATTCTGTTTTGAAGTCAAAGGTTTCATGTGCTAGTGGTTTTTCCTAATGCACATTATAATAAACATAGCTAATCTTTTAAAGTTCACAAAGGTGTACTGCTTAAATACATACCATTACTATGTGCTACATACATACCACTAGCAGTGACTATGCCACACTTTGGGAAATTTTGGGTTAGGTTATTGCAGTTTTCCAGGAGAGAATGTTCTGGGTCTGAGCTAGAGTAGTGGTAGTAGAGAGGTGGCACTTAGAGACAGGTATTCTGAATGGCCTGGCCACTCAGTGTGAGGAGGAAAGGCAAAGATTACTGACTGGTTTGAGGGTAGCAAAATGGTGGTGTTAAAGATGTAGGGACGGCCGGGCGCGGTGGCTCACGCCTGTAATCCTAGCACTCTGGCAGGCCGAGGCGGGTGGATCGCTCAAGGTCAGGAGTTTGAGACCAGCCTGAGCAGGAGCGAGACCCCGTCTCTACTAAAAATAGAAAGAAATTAATTGGACAACTAAAAATATATAGAAAAAATTAGCCGGGCATGGTGGCGCATGCCTGTAGTCCCAGCTACTCGGGAGGCTAAGGCAGGAGGATCACTTGAGCCCAGGAGTTTGAGGTTGCTGTGAGCTAGGCTGACGCCACAGCAGTCTAGCCTGTACAACAGAGTGAGACTCTGTCTCAAAAAAATAAAAAGAACAAGGGGAAAAGCTATATTTCAAGGGGCAGAAGAGTATTGGTAGAAAGAAAATCCAGGCAATAAGGATAGCCTTGCAGAGCAGTGCAGTAAGCAGAATTTTGGGCACTGATGGCTGGCACAGTAGCCATCAGCCACAGTAGCCATTAGCCACAAATGACTGTTGATCACTCTGAATGTGGCTAATGTGACTGAGGAGCTAAAAGTTTAATTTTATTTAATTTAATTAGCCACATGTGGCTAGTAACTATTATATTGGACAGCACAGTTCTAGACATTTAGTATTTTGGGCAGAAGGAGTTGGCTTTGGCATAGAGAAAGGCTTCTTAGAAAGGAAAGAAATAAGAGAATAGAGAGAGATTGGGAGAAAAGGTAAGGTGTTATCTCTGGTATCACCTGTTTTTCCTCATGGGCATGACTAGTGTGAGCAAGGATAGAGACCATATCAAGGGTAGCAGAGTGAAAATTGGATTACTGTGTAGTGCTAAATTCACTCTTGTATTTAGTGTTCTACATCCTTGCAGAAGCCATCCTGTGTTACTTGAGCCTGGACTAGCAAGGGAGATGAGGCCAAGCATCAGGGCAAAGCACTTAGCACTTTATTTTTTTCCCCTTCTCTTAATTTGTAAGAACCACAGGCCCATCCCCTTCCTTGTTACTGTTGTTAGGATGAAGAACAAAATGAGGCTGGACCCCATGTTACCTGATGGGTGACCTATTATGTTGGGCAGTCTTAGCCCCACCCCAATATCTTCCTTTCACATAGTATTGGTCAAATACTCCCAGCTCCATGGGATTGTTCCCTAATTAATTGGGCATGGCTAAAAAGAACACCAGACCAAATGGGTTCTCTCCCTTGCCTTTTTTTGTTTGTTTTGTTTTGCCGTTATCAGGGAACCAAGAACTTTAATTAATGAGCTAGTATCTGGTCCTAAAGTTTTAGTCACTAGAGTTAACAGAGTTAGAATCTTAAGTTCAAGGTGAGAGAACAGCTGAATTTGTCTTTCTGACCTCTTGCAATTCCTAGGGAACTCTGCATTCTGGGATTTGGTCAGGCAATAAAATGCTCCTATTCTTTCTCTGTCTCTTTATTTCTTCCCTAAATGGAACAAAACCCTCACTGACCAAAAAGGCTGTGCTTGTGGGATAAGATCCCGATAAACCCTTCTTTACCAAGTGGGAATCACACAAACTAACTTGAGTCTATACAAGTTGAGGCTGTTCTTGAGATCTGTGTGTAATATAACATTATAGAAGGTTTAAGAGATGAGTCCACAAATTTGATTGCCTCCTATTTATCAGAGATGCCCCAGTGAATAAGACAGGTCTGATCCCAGGCCTCATGGAACTTACAGACTAGTAAGATTGAGTATCCCTTATCTGAAATGGTCGGGACCAGAAGTGTTTTGGATTTTGGGATATTTGTACTGTACTTACCAGTTGAGCACTCCAAAACCGAAAATACAGAATCCAAGTCAGGCCCAGCGGTACGCTGTAGTCCCAGGTACGCAGGAGGCTCCCTTGAGCCCAGGAGCTCAGGGCTGTAGTGTGCTATGATCATGCCTGTGAATAGCCACTGCACTGCAGCCTGGACAACATACCAAGACCATCTCTAAAATTAAGGGCAACATACATTCAGGGCAACTTGAGTCTATGGTCCCAGCTTGCAGTCCTCAAACTTGGCCAAAATAAACTCTCTACTTATATTAAAAAATAATAATAAATAAATATCTATAGGGTTTTCTAGTCATTGTGATAATCAAAAACCTCTCACACATTTTCAGATTCTCGCCTGGGGGTTGGAGAGGAGCAATACTACCCCTATGGAGAGCCATTGGTTTAAGGGAAAGTGCAATTTTAAAAGTTTACCCTAATTTTGCTCTTTATTATAACTATTAATTTTGGTCATTCCCTCCAGGCTCTTTTATACATATATGCTTTTTGTTTTGATAGTATACATAAAGTGGCAAATATCGTAAGGACCATAACTGGCCCCTAACTTCCTGATGAAGCTGGGGAAAATCTCAGCCCAAAAGACAACGTGAATGAGCAATGCCCACAGATGCAATTGATTTTAGGACAGAAAAGTATCTTTCATATTGAGGTCCTGAGACCATTTTGAAACAGGCTGTAAAACCTAGGAAGAAACTTCTTTGTGAACTTCAGAGGCTGATACTAGGAGTAGACCAGGAAGGAGCTTGGCTTTCCTATCCCCAAATTTCTGTTAACACCTGTGCTGTTCAGATGGATTTGCATTCTCCATACCCCATTCCCTCTTTAAAGTGCACTTAACTACTTAAATCAGAAATGCTTTTTATTATAAGAAGCAGCTTGTGTCCTTGAACCTTATTTTGTTAAAAACAAAAAAGAAGAAGTAGCTTAAATAAATATGAGATTTGGTTTTTTATCACGTAAGTCTACCATGAGCAACTGTAGCTGGGGTTTCTGTGATTTTCTTGGCCTTTTCTCTTAAGATTGAAATAAGCAGCTCTAGTCATCACATTGATGTTCAAGGCAAGAGGGAAAGTTTGCCCAGAAGCCCCCAGCACACTATCCCCCTATATCTCATTGGCTAGAACTAAATCACATAATCACCTTTAGCTGTAACGGAGGCTGAAAAAACAGAACAGGATAGTCTTGATTGGCTTATACCAGTAATTTCCCTTCTCTGGGGTTAGGCACACTGTTAAGCCTAACAGGTTTGGAGCTCTTTTAGAGAAGAAGGGCAAATTGGGTATTTGTTGTATAACCACTAAGAGGAGTCTGTCACACAACACCTACAACAAGAAGCATTAGAAAGTGTAGCATTGAATGAGTGTGGGGATATATACCCCACTGTACCATTCATAATGCTGTGTTGGATGCTTTTATAGAAAAATGTTCAACTGTTCACTCTGGTTCCTTTCAAGCCCTGATTATTGTGAATGCATTTCTTCTAAGTCAACTATATTCCTTCCTTTGCCCTGTTTCACTTGTCTTAGTTTTTCAATCCAGGGAATAAATACTGTGAAGGAGATGTTTTTTCTCCCTCAAAATGTCCTACCAACTTGTCAGTCTGGATTTCTTTTTTTATTCCTCTGTTGGTCTTTCCACCAACTGACTGACTCTTATTGCCCTCTGTCTGAATCCTCCTTGCATCCATGCTGCCTTACAGATGCATGTTATGTATACCAGCTAGTTGAAAGACTCAAAATTTACTTCTGGTACTCCACTAACTTTACCTTTTTCTCTTTCTCCTCCTCTTTTTCCTCTCCTCTTGTTTTCCCTCCTCTCCGTTGCTGCTGCAGAGCGTCTCTACAGCCAACTTGAGCGAAACCGCCTGCTTTCTAATGAGCTGAAGCTAACGCTGCATGATCTGTGTGACTGATGGGCAGGGCTCACTGATGCCTAGTAAACTGAGCCTACTGCTCACACCACTGACCTGGACCCCAACAAAAACCTGATTGTCTTTTTAAAAGTTGTTATTTTGCCCTAAGCAAATTGTTTTTTAATTGGGCCAGTTAGAATGTTGATTTCCTAATAGCAATTTTACAAATTACAATTTTCCAACTGTAAAATTGAAACAGTTAATACTACATTTCTATCCCTTTAGAAGAGATTTATGGGTGATGAAGGGAGGGGCCTGAGATTATAGTGAGAAAACTTGGGAGAATTTTCTGTTTTCCACCTTATTTTGCTGCTCTTTCACTTGTGCACTCACTGTAGGATATGTTCCCGTGCATGGATGTCTTCTAACAATAAAAGGACTGACTTGACAAGATGTTGTAACTGCTTGATCTGCAAGCCCAGGGATGGGCCTTTCTGACTGGGTGGCAAAAAGGGAAGGGAAAGAAAAGAGTGTGGGATACGAATATGGGTCTGTGTTGCCATCGCCTTCTCTGAGTTGAAGATTTGAGTATTTTCCTCACCGCCCTAGAGCAGTTAGTTAGAGTGGTTTGCTTGCTAGGCAGATTAGATTGTTCTTGGTGTTCAGCCTCTGGTTTTCTTCCTGACACTTTCCCTCTTGCTTCCTTTTCCTGGTTTTATGTTTAATTGCAAGTAATTCTGTCACAGGCTAGTTCTAGACAATAGATCTGCAAAAAATCTCAGTTAAGGTTTTGCTTATATATATGTTTCAGTCGTGTTCTTGGCTTTATTTTCTTTAGAGGTTCTTTGACTTAGCTAAGAGGGCTTTTATTTATCCCACTAATTATTCCTTTCCCCTCTAACTTTTTGGAGAAAGCATGTAGCATGTGAGGATCTTCTTGTGCTCTTTTCAAGTTGAGATTCTGTTGTTTCTACTCTGCCTATCCTTGTTTGCAATGGTTAAATTCCAGTGAGTCATTTTAAGAAGGTATTGTCCTGTAGGAAAAGCCTAGAAGAGTAGATGGCTGATGCTTAAGTCTTGCTCCTTCAGAGACAGAAAGCTGAAAGCCTTGGTTGGTGTGGGAGGAAAAGGAAATGGTTGATAAGGTCCTTAACTCCCTCCCCTGGAAATAACAGCAACACCTGCCACTTCAGTAGGCAAGATAGAGGCCCTACGAAACTGAGTGATGTAATAGCTACTTTTGTGGCTGAGAAGGCAGCTGCTTTATTAGTCTGCAGCTTCCCTGCGACAGGAGCAAGTCTCAGAGTGAGCAGACCTGGAAACTTACTACTGGTTTTTGTAACTTCTCTCCTTTACCCCCATTAGATAAACTGAAATGTACCAAAGAGGAGCACCTCTGTACACAAAGGATGCTGGACCAGACTCTGCTTGACCTGAATGAGATGTAGAGCACCCCAGTCCCGCCCTGCCGCCGCTTCTCCCTCTGACCCTGACTCCGCCTGAGGCCAGCCTGCCCGAAGCTGACCTTTAAACTGAGGGCTGATCTTTAACTGGAAGGCTGCTTTCTCCTTTCGCCATCCCCCTCCATCCTACACCCCACCCACCACGTATTTTTCGCCAAACTGTCTCTGCCTCTTCCCAGAGATTCCAGCTGGGCTAGAGGCTGAGCACCTTTGGGAACAACATTTAAGGGAATGTGAGCACAATGCAAAAGGTCTTTAAAAGCATGTTGTGATGTACACATTTTGTAATTACCTTTTTTGTCGTTGTAGCAACCGTTTGTAAAACATTCCAAATACTTCCACAGCTCTGATGCAGCAGTCTAATCCCTTTATCACTTTTGGAAGGTGACTTTGCAGCTTAATGCATATTGCTCTCTCCATAGAGGAGGCAAAAAGGTATGGGCCTGCCTCACTGAGAACCAAACAGAGCCCAGGGAAAGACTCCACTGTGGGAAACCTCATTGCTCTGTACAGAGTACCAGCCAAACCTGAAAGGGGATCCCAGGAGGAGTAAGCCAAAAAAAAAGAAAAGAAAACCCAACAAAAACATGCTGTTCAGGTTTTCAGCTTTCAGGTATCTTTGGACAATTTTATTTTTTATTTTTTTTTCATTATAAGTGAAGACCTCTGAGACCAAATGTTTGTCCTATCTCTACCCTCTTCCCAACCACTCACAGAATGGATCATGTGCCCTTTACTTTGAGTTGACCACTTAATTGCTCTCCTGCCTCCTTGAAAGAAAGATTATGTTTTTGCCACTGATTAGCCATATGAAACTCATCTCGTTACCCTTTTCTGGGTCTGAAGCTGCTATCTCTAAAAGTGCCATCTCATCACGCTTTGTATCAGTCAGTGCCGGAGAAATCTTGACTGGCTTATGTACAAAGCTTTGAAAATTTTATGTTATTTTGAAACTTTGCTTCTTGGGGTTTGGGGCACCCTGACCACCCCATCTGGCTGTGAGAGCTCTCTACAGTTTGTGGGCTGGCCATGTGCCGATCTTTAACGTTTTTCCCCCTACCCAATCCCCACTTTTTGATGAGGTTTCCGTGAGGTCTGTTAGGTGTACATCCTGCAGCTTATTGGCTTAAAATGTACTCTCCTTTGATGTGGTCTCTTTGAGGCCGATTGGGAGAAAGAGAAAACCAATAGTGCAACTGTTTTGATACTGAATATTGACAAGTGTCTTTTTGAAATAAAGAACCAGTCCCTCCAACCCTCAGACTTATTTGACTTTTATTTATTAAACTGAATGTGCTTTCTCGACAGAAGTATGAGATTTGTGTTAAAAATTAGATCTTGGTAGGTGGTTGCAGTAGGATTTGATGTAGAGCAAACAATTTAGAAGCAGACCAAAACTGAGTTCAAAACTCAGCTCTGAAATTACTAGTTGATACAAATCATTTAGTTTCATCATCTAAAATGGAGATAATATATATTGTTAGGGTAAATGCAAAGATTAGAAATAATACTTAATGTGCCAGGCCTTTTAAAAGTTATTTAACACTGGCATGTTAAGGTTGAACTATACATTTTCCTTTACAACCATATTCTTAAAAACCATGGATTTATTATGCTCCTTAAGCAATATATCATGTTGCTCATACTCCTACAAGCGTGTAGTTTTAATAAACTGTCCTGGGACAGCCTTTGACTTAATATTCCATTGGATATTTGAAGAAAACAAGTTAATTTAACAAGTATTCTCAGGGTATTTGCATAGAGGCAGGTTATATGAGTAGATAGCTTTCAAAGCTGCCTTTGCTAGGCTGGTGTCTGGCATTTCCTGCACTCTGGCCTGGAGCCAGACATGAATCTAACTTCTAGTAAAAATTACATGGCTCCCTTGACAAATCCAGCTGTTTATGGTAGAGACTGGAAAATTTTCCGTTCGTAGGCATGGACCATTTTTTTGGTCTAGGAGCCAAACATGTTAGGCAACAGGAGAAATTAAACTGGGAAAGATTAGTTTTTTGTTTTTTCTTTTAGACTTGTTTCTTTAAAAAATATCTGCCATCCAGTATTTTGAAAAGTTCTTTTTACAGGTTAGCGGGGTTTGTGCCTAAAGTTTCCATTAATGTGGGGTTTACTGAAGGGCCTCTGAAGAATTTCCCACAATTCCGAGCAAGCAGCAGGTCCCACCTCCTGCTGACGTCACGCCGGTGGATTGGCTGATGTTGGGGAGGGCGCGGCTGTAGTTGAGCCGCAACCTGGCAGTTGCCATGACTGGTTCTGGGGCACCAGGTTGCCAAGGCTTCAGGCTTTTTTTCTGCTTGCCTCTACACCGCCTTCTCTTGCTGCTCCTGTTTTTGTTTGAGATTTTGGCCAACAAACTTAATGTGCCACAGGTTTTGTTACCCTTCGGCCGAGAGCCAGGCCGGGTGCCCTTCCTGCTGGAGGCGCAGCGGGGCTGCTACACTTGGTGAGGGGTAGGGAGGTCACAAGGATATGCACCCCCACACCATGTAGTTAAGGATGAGGCCCACAGGAATACTGTGTGATCACTCGGCTTGAAGGGGCCTATCCTGTAGGGGAGCAGGGTATGGAGTCAAGGTGGGTGGAGGGGCCAGACCCTCCGTGTGGCGTATCCTACTCTTGTGAGGTATCGCATCCTGTGAGGGTCCTCATGTGAGAAATTCGCGAATGCGAGACTGGGTTTTTCACTGTGCATGTTGAAAAGGGGTCGTCACTGTCAGCAGCTATCAGGGCACAGGTAAGCCCTGTGTTGGAGGCCTCAGGTAATGCGAAGGACTTACAATGTAAGCAACTAGAATGAGAGGGAGTTCCCAAAATCTGAAGCAATTTCCTTAGGAGCAGAAAGACTTGGGTTGTGAGGGTCTCCACTAACTAAATAAGGTGAGCTATTTAAGATGAGGAGGTCTTAAAACACAACAGCTAATTACTGAGTACTTAACTAAGCACTTTGCAGATATTAATTCATTCAATTTTTAGTCTTATGAAATAAGTACCACTACTCCCATCTTACAAATGAAGAAACCGAGGGCCAGAGACCATAAAGTGAAAACTTCTGGGAATATAAGAAGATTCATCTTGGGTGGAGATGAGATCTGCCTGTAGCATAAAAGTTGCCCCACTTATATAAGGGCCCCCACTTGAAGTGTGAGGACAAGGGGTACACGCAAATCTGGGATAATGACTTCCTAACTGAAGATGGAAAAATATGATTTTCTAGTGTGAGAGTCTCCAATGATAGGTTACCTAAGGTGTGAGGGAACCTAACTGAAGTGAGCTTCAAGATGTCAGAGTGTTCATCTTAAATGGAGTAGATTTTCCTTTACCGTCTCCTAATAGAAGCAGTGAGGTTTGTTGAGAGTGGGAGAATTTTGCCTCCCAGGCAGTATGAAAGAATTGGGCTTGTAAGATGACCCAAAGTGATATATGTATTTCCTGCCTGAAAGGATGATTTTAAGGAATCTTTCTAACATTGAAAGACATTCCTTCCATCCATCCAAAAATATTAATGAAATTTTGTGGTAATATTTTTCTTTATTTTTTTTCTGAGTCCCAATAAGAAACAATTTTTTGGTATTTTGAGTTGGACTCATACCTCGTAATTTAGAAAACTTTTCCATCCTAGTTATCAGCAGCCCAGTTTCTAGGATTGGAGGAAACTCATTCCTCAGGGTGTGAGAAAGGCCTGTCTCTTATTATTGGAAACACAACATCAATGCTATTTTTATATACTGAGGGACAGATGTAACATTAATCTTATTTTAAATATTGAGGAAAGAATATAATACTTCTGAGACTACACAAGAGATCATTGGGAAAAGTTCTGATCCATCTCTCCCACTTTAATTCTTGCATCCCTAAGCAAAGTTCCTACTTTAAAAAGTATCATTTAAGTATACCTGGTATTAAGTAACATGGAAGAAGTATAGGAATCTATGTTCCACCAAAAGTTAACTTTAACCCATGTATTTAATACTCTTAAGTATTTTGTTCTGGCAGGCATTCCACCCATCATGATGCAGTTACTGTTGAGCCTTTATATGAAAATGGTACCTTGTGTTCCCAAAAAGCTGTACTCATTGCTGAATCTACCCAACCAATACGCCTCAGCAGTATCATTCTTGCTCGAGAAATAGGTAGGTATGTTGAGAGCAAAGACATTATGTATCACTTCATCTGGGGTAGAATAATCTGATATCTTACATAGATGATTAACACAAATGATGTTGGCTTCAAATGATGAGGTAGAAAGGATTCCTGCAATATAAACCCTAATTGTGGCATCCTATTCTGTGACTTTTTTTTTTTTTTTTTTTTTGGTATATATCTGGCATGGTGCCTGCTACTGTGGAAACTAGTTGTTTGAATCAATGAAGGAAGGAAGGAATCATTTATCTGGAACCAACTTGGGTGTTAAGGTCTGAAGTTGGTCTGAGTGACACAAAAGGCAGTACAAAGACTAGTACTTCTCAAAGTGTAGGCTGTGAACATGTATTAGCAGCATCACCTGCATTACATGGGTGCTTGTTAGCAATGTAAATTCTCTCATCTTCTACATTAGAATCTCTGGAGTGGGCCCAGGGTTCTGCGTTTTAACAAGCTCTCCAGGAGCTTGTCTGAGAAAGTTTGAGAAGCATTAGTCTATTTTTTGTAGAGACGGGGTCTCACTGTGTTGCCCAGGCTGGTCTCTAACTTCTGGCCTCATATGATCCTCCCGCTTCAAGCCTCCCAAATTGCTGGGATTATAGGCATGAGCCACTGTACCCAGCTGCTTTTAAATATTTTGATAAATGAAATATCTTATTAAATAGAAGTTTAAGATGTTTGGTATACTATATTCCATATAATTGAAAATGCCATCTATTATAAAGCACACCATTATTTTATGTAACACTAAGAAAGAAAAACATTGCCAATTAAACTTTGCTTGAAATTTTTACTTTATATCTGTTTAAAGAACTCTTTGATTTAATTAGATGTTTTCTAAATCATGTATCACTCTGGTGCCTAATAAAAAGAAAAATATAAGTAAAATAAATGGGTTAAGATACTCCTAAAACTACATGTCTGCTTCATCTGAACCACTTTTTGACTGGGACTTATCAATGTCTGCATTTATCCCCACAGCATCTTCCTCTGTGTTATCAGGAGTATTAGTGACGCAGCAGTTCTTAAAAGAGTCAATTAAAATCAGCCAGGCACATCACCTGCCTGTAGTCCCAGCTACTGGGGAGGCTGAGGCAAGAGGATTTGGAGTCCAGTCTGGGCAACATAGCAAGGACCCCATCTATAAAAAGTAAAAAAAAATTTAAAAAAAGAATCAATAAAAAAGACCTACCTAAAACCTACTCTTAAGTTGACTTTGCAATTAGCTAGGACTAAATCTGTTTTTGTTTCCAGCTTTGGAAAGGTTCCTAGCACATCTAAGTTACCACCTTTTCTATCCCTACTCTTAACCTTTTAGTTGTTAGGGGATAAGAGTCCTCTACTATTGTCCACCAGATTTTTTTCCAACGATTAATACCTATTCTACCATTTTTTTTTTTTTTTGAGACAGAATCTCATTCTGTCACCCCGGGTAGAGTGCATCATAGCTCACTGCAACCTCAACTCCTGGGCTCAAGTGATCCTCCTGCCTCAGCCTCCAAAGTAGCTGGGCCTCTAGGCTTGCACAACCATGCCCGGCTAATTTTCCTATTTTTTGTAGAGATAGGATCTCCCTCTTGCTCAGGCTGGTCTCAAACTCCTGGCCTCAAGCATCCCTCCTGCCTCAGTCTCCCTAAGTGCTAGGATTACAGGTGTGAGCCACTGCACCTGGCCTCTTGTAACTATTTTTAACTACATCAATGTATTCTGATATCAAAATATTCATTGACACAAGTACTAGGAAAAATGTCAAATATGGCTCTCAGCTAAATTTCATCTGACTCGTGGTAACTATTCCAAAGTTAAGTATCTTTGAATCAACTTTCCCAATTTTACTGTTAATACAGTTGTGCACAAAGATGAGATTCCCAGTGATAAATGCCAGTCTTGGTGTCCTAATAGGTGCAGTCCCATCTGAATGGGAGCGGATAGTCTGAAAGGGGTGGGGTAGGGCATTTCGAAAGGGAAGCGCGTGCCTAAGAGAAATTCTTCATTCATTTGTGTAACAAATATTTGAGTTGCTTACTAATTATAGGCACCTGTAAAGGTAAAAAGATTTAAGCACTCCATTGATATTTAAGTGCTTAGAATTTTGTTTACGACGTTTCTGGTCATGTAGTAAAGAAAACTAGTGGCTATGACAGAGATTAGAGACTTGAGGGTAGGCATGTTCCATATGGTAATAGATTTCTGTTTTTTAATTATTTTTTTAATTTCAATATATTAAGGGGATACAAATGTTTTTAATGCTTAGGGCTATAGGTGTGCCCAGAACCCCAATAGTGTTCATTGTTCCTGTTAGGTAGGTTTTTACCCCTCCCCTCTTCCTCCCTCTTCTTGATTTCCAAGGATTTTTACTTCTTTCTGTCCCCATGTGTGCCCATCAATTAGTTCCACATTATTAGAGGGTACATGTGGTGTTTGTTTTTCCATTCTTGAGATACTTTACTTAGGATAATAGTCTCCAGTTCCAAATTGCTGTAAAAGACATTAATTCATTCCTTTTTATGGCTTAGTAGTACTGCATGGTGTGTGTGTGTGTGTGTGTATATATATATATATATACACACACACACACATTTTGTTAATCCACTCATGAATTGATGAGCACTTGGGTTGATTATATATCTTTGCAATTGTGAATTGTGCTCAATAAACATTCAAGTGCAGGTGTCTTTTTGAAAAAATGACTTCTTTTCCTTTGGGTAGATACCCAGTAGTGGGATTGCTGGATCTAACGGTAGGTTGACTTTTAGTTCTTTGAGAAATCTCCATACTGTTTTCCATAGAGGTTGTACTAATTCGCAGTCCCACCAACAATGTGTAAACATTCCTTTCTCTCTGCATGCATGCCAGCATCTATTATTTTTGGACTGTTTAATAAAAGCCATTCTGATAGGGGTAAGGTGATACTTCTTTGTGGTTTTAATTTGCATTTCCCTGATAATTAGTGATGTTGAGCATTTTTTTGATACGTTTATTGGTCATTTGTCTATCTTCTTTTGAAAAGCTTCTGTTGATGTCTTTTGTCCACTTTCTAATAGAGTTGTTTGGTTTTTCTTGCTGATTTGTTTGAGTTCTTTGTAGATTCAGATATTGGCCCTTTTCAGATGTATAGTTTGTGAATATTTCCTCCCATTCTGTAGGTTGTCTACTTGCTCTGTTGATTATTTCGTTTGCTGTGCAGAAGCTTTTTCATTTAATCAAGTCCCATTTATTTATTTTTGCTTTTGCTGTAACTGCCTTTGGGGTCTTAGTCATAATCTTTTTTTTTTTTAAGAGACAGGGTCTCACTATGTTGCCCAGACTGGAGTGCCAGGCTGGAGTGAAGTGGCTATTCACAGGCATGATCATTGCGCACTACAGCCTGGAACTCCTGACCTCAAGGGATCCTCCTGCCTCAGCCTCTCTAGTAGCTGGGACTACAGGCAAGTGTCACCATGCCTGGCTTAGATTTCTTTTAATTTTTTTTTTCTTTTTGACTAGGAGTTACTTCCATTTGGTAAAACATTCAAAGACTGTACAAGGTTATATAGTGAAAAGCAAATATTTCTTTGATCCCAGTTTTCCAAGAGGGAACCGCCTTTCTGTATCCTACCAATGGTAATTTATAAATGTATGAATATGCATTTTTATAGTGAAAAATCTAGACTTTAACCTTGAGTATAAGAGAGGTAGAAGAGTTTGGAGAAGAGGGTATAGTTTTAGGTGAAAAATCTCACAGGGAGGATGAAGAAAGGATTTGGATAACTGGATAGTTTTGGTGGGAGAATGGAATGGGGCGATTAGTAGTTTTTGCACTATACTAAGTACATGGTGAATGTTCAGTAATTATTTATTGATTGATTAGTTGCAGCAGTAGAATATAATCAAGAGAAGTTGATTTGGAAACTAGGATAAATATGAGGGTCAGGGAAGGCAGGTAATATTTGTTGTTTCTTCTCCTTCTTTTTTGTCTCTGGCTCTGTGTTCCTTTCGTCCTCTCAATCCTGGCTTCATTCTTTTTTTTTTTCTCTTTCCTTCTTCATCTCCCTAGATCAATTCTTATTCTCTTTAACTCATTTTTCTTTCTTTATTACCTGGCTCCAGTGTGGACCTGAAGTATATTTAAAGTAATATGGACTATAAATAAGAATATTTGTTATATTATTTAATAGTTATTTGTTTTCTTTTTGCTCGAAAAACAGGTAAGTTAAATGTTTGATATTTCTCCTAATCACTCTGAATTTACTTGTAAGTCATCCAAAGTAATTTTTTTTTCCTTTGTGGTCAATGGCCTTGTATTGAAAAGCTTTCTGCTGATGGAGTAGTCAGATGAGTAGGCATTATGTGCATAAGGCTTTTCTTTCTTTCTTTCTTTTTTTTGAGATAGGGTCTTGCTCTGTCACCCAGGCTGGAGTGCAGTGGCTTTATCATAGCTCACTGCAACCTCAAATTCCTAGGCTCAAGCAATCCTCCTGCCTCAGCCTCCTAAGTAGCTGGAACTACAGGCACGCACCACCACACCTGGCTAATTTTTTCTACTTTTAGTAGAGACGGGGTCTCGCTCTTGCTCAGGCTGGTCTCGAATTCCTGAGCTCAAGCAATCTTCCTGCCTCGGCCTCTCAAAGTGCTAAGCTTACAGGCATTAGCCACTGTGCCTGGTCATATGGTGTCTTAATGGTGATTTTGTATTTCTCTCATTTCTTCTATATTTATTAACTAGCATTCTTCTGAGAGAAACATGTCTTATATCTTACAGATAACTTCTTTCCACTTAATTTATTTATTCCGTCATGTATGTCAGTACAGATTCATGGATAATTTGTTTCGTTTTTGGCTTATAATCTAATAATATCATAATTTATTTTGTTACTCCCGTTTTTCCAGGCTTCGCCATTGGGAGTTCTTACAGGTTGGCTCCTATGTCTTTGAACTTGCCCCTATCTTTTTTTATTTTTGTTATTTGTTTATTTATTTTTCTGTACGTTGTTAGTTTTTAGCTCTATAAGATAAGTCAGGGTCATCTCGCCCAGCCATTTCTTCAAGGAGTCCTGGTTCTTCCTGTTAAAGAATTATATTTAGAAACCAGGACCTGGGTGCTAGTGTGCTTGTTGCTAGTGGGGTGTCACTGCCTCTAGGCCCTCTCAGGAAACAGAGCTATGAAATGTATGTATGTATGCTAACCCTTGTATACACACATATCTACATTTATTTCTGTATCTGTCTATCTGCATATGTATTAAAATAAACATGAGCTCATCCTGATATCTTCAACTCTAATCGTTCACCACAGGGTTCATTCTAGCCTTCCCACCTTGTTTATTCTAACTTCTTTCTCTGACAGGGAGAAACCTGACCCTTATTATCTATAAAGTATTTACTTAGTTGTTCAACCCTAGTATATATAGAGAGGGAGTAATTTCAGGATGATTAATTCAACTTTTAATGTTTCTTGTGAAAGAAAGAAAGTATACCATTTCCTAAAATAAGTATATTTTGATGCATCATAACTTTTTTTTTTTTTTTTTTTTTTAGAGATAGGGTCTTGCTCCAGGCTGGAGTGCAGGAGTTGCATGATCATAGCTCACTGTAACCTTGAATTCCTGGGTCAAGTGATCCTCCTGTCTCAGCCTACTGAGTAGCCAGGGCTACAGGTGTGCACTACCCAGCTAATTTTAAAAAATTTTTTGTAGGTATGCGGTCTAGAAATGTGGTGTAGCTATGTTGTTGCCCAGGTTGGTCTTGAATTCCTGGCCTAAGGCGATCCACCTTGGTTTCCCAAAGTGCTGGGATTATAGGCATGAGCCACCACACCTAGCCCTCCTTTTTGTTGAGGGGCATTTACCTGTATTATCTGAATAATATTCTCCTTTGATTTTTATTTATTTATTTATTATCTGTGAGATTAAAAGACAACTCCTTTGATTTTAAAAAGTCCATAAAAGCAAATCCATGGCTAGGGACAGTTTACCCCTGATGGCCAGTGGTAATTTTGGGTAGTTGAGAATTGGTAGTTACATTGCTTTTAGTTTTTCGTGAATGAAGCTAAAACTAAAAATATATAGTTACAACAGCAGAATGGGGCAGCTATGTAGATAGTTGTAGAATACATGGTAAATGTGGTAGGAGAAAGTGTTATTAAAAGATAGTGGTATGAGAAATAATAAAAAATTTAAAAGATAGCACAAAACGATTTTATTTCCTTCTTTTCTTTTTCTACACTGTTTCAAATAGTGTTTCTGAATTTCATTATGGGTATATTGACTGGAACTCTGGTTGGACTAGAACTCTGGTTGGATCTAATTCAGTTGTTCCTAGGTTTTTTAATCTCATGGTCCAGAAAAAAAAATTGAAAAGAAGAAAGAGAGAGAAAGAGAAAGTTTATTGATAAGACTGACATATGGTTGCCACCATTTTACTTTCCTAAATAAATAACATTTTTAAAAATATACTAATACCATTGTTTCATAAAAGAACAATTTTGCCACTTCAAAAGACATAAAAATAAAGTATATTCCTTTAAAAGGAGTATAATTTAATTTTATTACTCACTTTTAAAATTCTTATTCTTATTTTTCTATGCATGAATAAAAATATAGATCAGTCTTTGAGAACCACTAGTCTAGTGTCTCTTATTATAAGCAGAGGCTCTTCTATCTTATCATTATGCTATTTTCTTCCACAGGTAAAAGCAGCTGTCATAGTCTTTCTTTTTATTTTTTTATTATTAATTAATTAATTTAACTTTTTTTAGAGACAGGGTCTCACTCTGTCACCCAGCCTGGAGTACAGTGGTGTGACCACAGCTCACTATGACCTTGAATTCTTGGGCTCAAGCAATCCTCCAGCTTCAGCCTCCCAGGTAGCTAGGGCTATAGGCATGCACCACCATGGCTGGCTAATTTTTAAAAAAATTTTTTAGAGATAGGGTCTTGCTGTGTTGCCCAGGCTTGTCTTGAACTTCTGGCCTCAAACAGTCCTCCTACCTCAGCCTCCCAAAGTGCTGGGATTACAGACATGAGCCACTGAGCCCAGCTTCTTTTTCATAATTTTTAGAGTAAGCTTTTGAGTATTCGAGACATTTAATAAATTCATGACCTGTTGAATTAAATACTCAGTTTTTGGGTTCATCATAGTGACTGACCATGAACTACGCTGTGATGTTAAGGTTGATGTGATAGACAGCATTGAAATTGTGTCTCGGACCCGGGAACTCTACGTAGATGATTCACCACTGGAACTGATGGTGAGGGCATTGGATATTGAAGGTAAAGAACTTCAGAGGATTCAACAACATTACCTAAAATAAAACAATGCTTGTTTATGTTTAGCCCTTGGAAACAGAAGTTTGAGTGACAAAAGAAGATTAAAAATAATACTTATTTTCTCATTTGGAACTCATGTAGATGACAATAACTCTGAGTATAGTTCAATGTATTAGCTATATACTCTCATAAAATTTTCCTACTATTATTGTTAATTATCTCAGAACTTTTTGTTTTTTTGACACAGAGTCTCACTCTGTCGCCTGGGCTAGAGTACCTTGGTGTCAGCAACCTCAAACTCCTGGGCTCAAGTGATCCTCTTGCCTCAGCCTCCCAAGTAGCTGGGACTACAGGCATGCACCACCACACCCAGCTAATTTTTACCATTTTTAGTAGAGATGGGGGTCTCACTCTTGCTCAGGCTGGTCTCGAACTCCTGAGCTCAAGCGATCTTCCCACCTCAGCCTCCCAGAGTGCTAGGATTACAGGAGTGAGACGCAGCACCCAGCCCAGAACTTTTCTTAAATATCCAAAGTCTGCTACTGAGCTTCTGCTGATGGTCCCTAGACCAACAATTAAAAACATTTTTTGGAATTTATTGCTAGCTCTGTTTTGATCAGTTCACTTTTTATAGGAAAATTAAATGTAAACCTGTGAAAAAGTTATAATTTTAAGTTAATCTCTCTTGAGACTGATTTTATATTGCTTTTAATACTGTATACTATGCTAATGCTGTAGTATGGTAATGAAACACTTAAATTTATTGCCTTTGTAAACTGTTTAATAAAGAGTAATTTCTTTAAATCTGAAAAATGAACTATTCTGCAATTTAGTTTCTATAAAAATTTTTGTTGAAGGGACCAGGATTGATGCCTGTCAATCATAAGGTGGCTTTTACACAGGAACAGAAAGAATATGGCATAATTTTTGTCAAGCAGTTTATCTGCCTGAGTCCTTTTACTTTCAGAAAGCTTGTATAGCAACAGCCCTTATATCGTGCAGGGATCTTCTTCATAAATGTATCTTAATTCATTAATGATAGTCCTTCTATTTGTTAATGAAAGAAGCCTCAAAATAATTTTCTAGTTAGATTTCCCTTTCTTGTAGATACCTGAATATTTTTTAATATGTGATTCTGTCTTGTCTGCTTTTGGCTTGCTCTACAGGAAATACTTTTAGTAGTTTGGCAGGGATGATGTTTGAGTGGAGCATTGCCCAGGATAACGAGTCAGCAAGAGAAGAACTGTCTAGCAAAATTAGGTAAACTTGAAAACAAACATAAATCATCTGACTTTGAAGGAGACATCTGCCATTAAGTGGCACACTGAACGGCAACCATTTGTGTGGACTTTGATAATCCTTCTGTCTGGACTTTTCATTTGTGTGTTTATTTGTTTTGAGACAGCCTCACTTTGCCCAGGCTAGAGTGCAGTGGCATCATCGTAGCTCACTGCAACCTCAAACTCCTGGGCTCAAGTGATCCTCTTGCCTCAGCCTTCTCAGTAGCTGAGATTACAGGCCCAGGCCACAACACCTGACTAGTTTTTTCTATTTTTTGTAGAGACAAGGGACTCGCTATGTTCCTCAGTCTGATCTCGAACTCTTGGCCTCAAGTGATCCTCCTACCTTGCCCTCCCAAAGTGCTAGGATTACAGGCATGAGCCATAGGCCTGGCCTGTCTGGACTTTTTGAAACAGATAAATTCACCAGGGAAAATGTCTTTGATAGAATGACATATGATATAGTTGTAGGTACCTTTATGATAGCTTAATTTGAGCCATTACAGAGGAGTTCATGAGCTCAGGACTATACAATTATTTGAGCATGGTGTATCTTCTGGCAATTTTCTTGCTCAAACTATTTGCCCATGCCGAAGCAGTGAGTATGATAATAGTAAGAAATTTTGCCTTTGGTACCCAGGAGATCTCAGACAATCCAAGTTTTAGTTCCACAACAATTTTAGCCAGAGGCACATTTAGTCCTTGTGGAACATTGAAATTTTAAAACTTTTTACACTCTGTAGACGTTTGAAGTCTCTTAGGGACTTTTAGAAGAAGACATTGTTTGATTCTGCTAAAAACAAATCTCATTTTATATCTTTAGGATTCTGAAATATTCGGAAGCGGAATATTCACCCCCTGTCTATATAGCTGAGATGGAAAAAGAAGAGAAACAAGGAGATATGATTTTGGTGTCTGGGATTAGAACTGGTGCTGCTGTTGTAAAAGTTAGAATTTATGAAACATTCTATAAGGTAAAACTTTTGTGCTTTCATCTGATAGTCTTGCCTATGGAAAATATAGTTTTTTATGTTTATCTATAGTAGAAGCCCTCTAACCTGATGTGATTTGGGCCAATAGTTGGTCATTTAATTGAAAAAGTCATTTGAAGCGGTGAGCATTTAAAAAAACATTGTCTTCCTTAAACATTTTATTAATTAATTACAATTACAGATATGAGTGATATTTTCTCTTAAAACATATAACTGCATTTTTTTTACTTTAGTATCGGATCTTATATAACTACATTTTATTCACCAATCCTTTGATGTAAGTCCAAGGCCTTTCTTTGACCACGAATTCACCGATTAAAAATCTACATACACTTTCTTGCATAAACCAGTTTCTAATTTCATTTTCTTTTATAGTCAAGTGAACATTTAGACATGTGTTAAGCAATTTGAGTACAGAATTCTATATTTTCAAGGATTTTTCCCCAATCTTTTTACATTTCTCACACCTAATTTGATAGCTCATATTAGCAGCTTGCCTTTAACTTCTTTTTAAAACATTTACATTTTTTATAGAAACAATAGCTCTCTTTTCATATTCACAGTTTTTGTTTTAAGGTAATTATAATTACAATTGGCATAAATAGGTGTGGGAAAAATAAATGTCTTTCGGTAAGCATTTAATTCAAGCAGCAAGAACACAAGATGTGATCATCCTAGAGAGCAGCCTACCAACCTTGTGTGGGGTAAGTCTTCACAAGAATCAGTGTGTTCAACAGAGAGTGGAAAGTAACTTAATCTGGCAAATCAGTTAATTGTAGGTTGGCTAGAAGAATTTCTGTGGCATACAGTCAAGTCTTACCTTTTCTTATTTCAGCATACTTGCCTTTTTATTTGCCTCCTTCTTTAGACAACTTTTCATTTTCTTTTTTTTTTTTTTTTTTTTGAGACAGAGTCTCACTCTGTCGCCCTGGGTAGAGTGCAGTGGTGTCATCATAGCTCACAGCAACCTCAAACTCAAGCAATCCTGCTTCAGCCTCCCTACTAGCTAGGAATACAGAGGGTGCCACCATGCCCGGCTAATTTTTCTATTTTTAGTAGAGACGGGGGTCTCACTCTTGCTCAGGCTGGTCTAGAACTCCTGCTCTTAAGCCATCCTCCAGCCTCGGACTCCCAGAGTGCAGGATTACAGGTATGAGTCACCACGGCCCGGGTGACAGCTTTTCATTTTCTATTCTTAGTCTGAGTGACTTAGAAAGTTAATATGGCATTAAGACTCATGATCACTTTTTAATGCTAACTGAAATTATGATTTGTGATTAGGAAAGCATTTTTTTAAATCTTCGTAAAAAATTTTAAAAGAAACTTATAAGAAGGAAGCTTTTAACAGAGAAGATGGCTTTGAGGATTTTGCATATGGAAATTTTGCTTTTTTTCCTTCTTCTTTTAGAAAGTGGCAGCAGCATTGATACGTCTGCTTGTTTTGGAGAATATATTTCTTATACCATCCCATGATATTTATCTCTTAGTAGGAGCATATATTAAATACCAAGTTGCAAAAATGGTTCAAGGAAGAATGACGGGTAAGGTGATTTTTCTTTTCCTATGACTAAAATTACCCAAAACTTTGTGTTGACAAGAAGATAAGCAACTCCACGTTACATATGAAAAATACTAGCAATAAACTCATATAGTATTACCCTACAAATGTCTTCATCATCATGGGAAAGAAATTAGGAGCAGATCCTACTCTTATTTTAGGCCTGCTTCTTGATCTTCCTCTTATAATCCAACAATATATCATTATCCACTGGAATGGCAGCTGTCATTACATTTATGTATCTTTCATGTGTTACAGAGGTGAAATTTCCCCTGGAACATTATACACTGGAATTGCAAGACCACAGAGTTGCACTTAATGGGATTCCTTCTGGGAAAGTGGCTTTACTGGATGAGAAAACAGCCACAGTGACTGCCTTCCAACTGGGCCAAGCTAATCTTGTCTTTGTCCATAAAAGTATCCTTTTCTTCAAGTTTTAGCTGCCAATCTACACTTCCCTGAGCATGCTAGACCTGTTCCTTGGTAAAATAGTTTATTAAGAGTGATTATAATGCTACTAAGGTGTTTTCCTATAGGTTTTATATTTAATAGAGAACTATAAATTATTGTAATAATTTCTAACAAAGGGTAGGTAGAGAAAAGAAGAGTAGTTGGAACTTGGGATCTGTTGACTTCTATGCTTAATTGCAACCTCAATCAAATTGTTATTAGGTGACTGGGGAAAATGGAGTTTGAGGGATATGTGTGAATTTTATTTAATTTGTTCTTTGCTATTTTCACATGATAAGTGAGAAAAGATGATATTGTCTGCAGTAGATGTTTAATATTTTTTTAAAATTGAGTTGAGAGTAATTTTTTAAAATTCACTAAACCTGCTCTGTAAGGATTGAACACAGAGAGGTATATAGAGCTCTGTTATAATCAATGAAAACAAAACAGAATGAAGATTTAAATTCTCAGGAAGTTGAAACATGATTTGTACTCCATTTCTCCGTGTTTGATTTGGAAATATTTCCTATTTTTAAATATTTGAATCTGAAAGAAATTAATTCATTCAGCAAATATTTACGATATTCCTATTATAGGCTTCAACATATTTCTAAGCATTGGGTATACTAACTGCTATTTTACCCAGCATAGTTAGGGAAGTTCTCCCTGATAAGGTAACATTGGAGCAATGAGTCATGCAGATATTTGGGTGAAAGAGCTCCAGGAAAAGGAAAGAGCAATTGTAAAGGTTCTGACGCAGGAACGTATTTAGCATGATTAAAGAAGAGCAAGGAAGACAGCCAGTGCAGTGAATCTGGAGAAAGTGGTAGAAGAGGTAATAGAGTAGAGGAGGGGCAGATTATGTAGGTCCTACTAGGCTTACTCTGAATAAAAATCTGTCAGGCTTGAAAGATACAGTATTTCTTCTAGAATAGAGTTAGTAAGCTATTTATATTATTTGTCTAACACGTATTTAGGAGATATATTGATCAAAGTTATTAATATTTGTTCTTTAGTTACTTTAAGGTACCTAGGACATTTGTCAACAAATCCAACAGTACCTACAAAATAAAGTTATTCAATATTTATTGAGACCTAACTGTGTGTCAGGCACTTCCCTGAATTCCCCAGGCAGACTTAAATGATTTTTTTTTCATATTCTCAGTTCATATTGTTATTTCTTCCAAAGTAGCAAATATTAAAATATATTTTATTTGTCTATTTATGTATATTTCTTGAGGACATGGTTGGTGACTATTCATAATTTGTCCCAGCACCTGGCATGGGGTGGCTGGTGGTACTGTTCATGGAGATGGGGAATATAAGAGAAGGAGCAGTTCTAAGGGAAAAGATAACAAGTTCAATTTTCACATTAACTTGAAGTACCTGTGGGACACAAATCCAAGCAAAATTTTCCATTATGCCTCTAGAGGAGAAAGATTGAGAGTGAAGATAAATATTTGAAAGTTATCAGTTTATAGATAGGTGATAGCTGAAGCTGTTGTAGATAAAATCACCTAGGGACAGTATACAGAGTGAGAAGAAAAGTTGGCCAAAGACAGTACTGTGTCATGCTAGCTTCTAAGGTTCATATGGAAGAAAAGGAACTCTAAAGGAGATCCAGAAAGAATGCTTAAAAAGTAGTAGGAAAACCAGAGAGTAGAGTTTCCTGGTAACCAAATGAGGAATTTATGAAGAGGAGAATGTACTCAGGTGAGATCTGGCAGGGATGTCAAGGTAAGATAAACACTGAAAGGCTGTAGTAACTAGAAGGTCTTGGGTCACTTTGTCAGTAAAACAGCTTGGCCTTGAAAAGACTTTTTTTTTTAAGATAGGAGAAACGTGAACATGTCTGTAAGTTAAACAGAGAAAGATGGCAGAGATTTGGGAGAAAAGAGAGCCAGCTGAGGAAGCAAGTTTTCTGAGAGGCAAGAGAAAAATGAGATGCGGAACACGAGTGGAAATATTAGATCAAAGGAAGGATATCTTATTCTGATATGGGAGGAATGAATTGGTTTAGAGACCTGTTTAGAGGTTTCCTCATCTGAAAAATGAAGGAAATGTTGTATTTCTGCGTTTCCTTCTAGCTCTTTTTTTTCCCCCCCAGAGACAGGGTCTTGCTTTGTCACCCAGGCTGGAGTGCAGTGGCAAAATCATAACTCACCGTAACCTTAAACTCCTGGGCTCAAGTGATCTTCCCACCTCAACCTCCTGAGTAGCTAGGACTATAAGCGCATGCCACCATGTCTGGCTAATTTTTTAAAAATTTTTTGTAGAGACAGGGTCTCACTTTGTTGCCCTCATCCTGCCTCAATCCTCCTGTGTCAGACTCCCAAAGTGTTGGCATTACAGGCATGAGCCACAGCACCTGGTGCCTTCTAGCTCTTATATTTTATGAATATTATATTGAAGCACATATCAGAACCTAACCTAGTCTGGCACAGAGTTGCCTATACACTCTTTAGAAGATTTACTTTAGTGAATAGATAAAAGTAATCTTTAATTAGTATATTAATTATATGTATATGAGTAGCTCATTTGGAGTATGTGAGGCAGCTTTAAAAGTTTGATCCCCCAAGCAGATTAAATATTATTTTATTTCCATTATCTCTACAGATAATGTAGTGATAAATTATAGTCTGATTCATGACTGAATTAATACAACTTCTAAATTAGTATATTTTGAATTAATGAGTGTTTTCTGTTTAGTCGTCTCAGTTACATTTTTCTCAGAGCAAAAGTAATTTCTTCTTAGCTTTCAGATGCGGTATCTTTTTGAGAGGAAAGCATATTCCTGATTAGATTCTATACAGACCAATATTGGAATAAATTTATATTTCTGCTAGAATTTAATTGAAATGATAGTGGGTAGTATGATATATAAATGACCCAGAAGTATCTTTGGTGGCAAACAGAAAACATTTTGATATTAAAGATTTGCTGCAGATAGTAGAAAATCAACTAGTGATTTTGGAACTGTCTGTGGAGTCCTGGGCATGTTGGCAGATGGCAAATCATGCCCCTTCCTCCCCCTCCATCATTACTCTTCATCCCATTAGCCAGAATGTCTCTTCCTCCCGAATGGCGCCACTTCGTCCTGCTCTCCATATTGGACTCCTGTGTAAGAATATTTGGAGAAAGGGATCTGCAGCTAAATGAATGTTAAAATCACAGAGCATGATCTTTTTTCTCCCATTCCACTTACTCAAATTTGAAATTCAAGAATACCTGACTCATGTGATGACTAAAAGTCCCTCAGACTTTTTGTAGAAGTGTACACATTTAAGTTTTGGCTTTCCAAAGGATAATAAAGAAAAGATTTTGTTTGTGGGTTTGTTATTTTTTTCTTTGGTACCCCACCTTTTTCTTTTCACTCAACTATGGCTCTCATGGTTTCCTTAAGCAAAAATTAAGATGTCCATATGCGATCTGTATCTGGACTCCCAAATTGCACCATATATGTCGTAGAGCCTGGATTTTTAGGTATTTTTAGATAATGGTTTTCAGAAAGTTGTATAGTTCAAACAATTTCACTAAAATGAGTGCATTAAAAACTAGAGTGTTTCTTAATTAACTAATTTCAAATTCAGCCTGACTTTGACATGCTTTCTCACATTGTTCTGGGTAAATTATGCTATCTGCAAGAGTGAAACATCTTGAAACGGATTGTGAAAAAATATGAAAAATCCATGTAATACAGTCTTTAGAGTTAGGAAAAGAGACTTTATACAAGGAAAAAGGAATTTTAATTTCCTTAAACCATATGAAACAATGAATCTGACTGAAAGAAATGGAAATATTGCCTCACACATTAGGAAAGAGCCAACATTGTGGTTTGTTCTTGTCTACAGAAATAAATGATAGTATTTCTTTATACCTGAGATGAGCTAAGTTAAACCAGGATTTTTCAAACCCTAAATTATTATACAATTTGAGAGAAGGAATGAAGATATCTGCTTTGGAAACCATCTCCATCTATTAGCAAATTTTTTTTTTTTTGAGACAGAGTCTCACTCTGTCGCCCAGGCTAGAGTGCCATGGCGTCAGCCTAGCTCACAGCAACCTTAAACTCCTGGGCTCAAGAGATCCTCTTGCCTCAGCTTTCCTAGTAGCTGGAACTACAGGCGCACACCACCATACCCAGCTAATTTTTACCATTTTTAGTAGAAACAGAGTCTCACTCTTGCTCAGGCTTGTGTTGAACTTCTGAGCTCAAGCGATCCTCCTGCATCGGCCTCCCAGAGTGCTAGGATTACAGGCATGAGCCAACGCGCCCAGCCTGAGTAGCTTTTTAAAGTTTGTATTTTTTAATTCATTGTAGAAAAATGTTGGGCTCTTCTAATATTTTTGTTTCTTGATTTGTATATAGGTTTTACTGTCCAACCTGGAGACCGATGGAGTCTAGAGGTGGGACAGGTGTATGTCATTACAGTAGAAGTCTTTGATAAAAGCAGCACAAAGGTCTACATTTCAGATGTGAGTCTCTCTTTTGTATTTTTCTAATCCCCTTGTCCAGATAACTCCTTGAGTGGGCCATCTTTATGGCTAGAAAGCCCTCTTTCTTCTTTTGCTTCCAGACTTTTACCTTTGGAAATGCAAGTTACTAGTTTTTTATTGTTATTAAATAGTTTTTGTTCATGAAGAATTCTAAACCAGAAGTAAAAGATATAATTTGGTCAGAATTATACAAAGGAGTTGAAGAGAGTACCAGTGATAACACTTTGGAGGGGATCCTCATTCTACAACTTCACTTTAGAGATGGTTACCACAGTTTTGTAGTGGTGAGAGTAGTAGTATGAGTATCAGATGTGAAGGGTTGTACTCACTCTCTAGGATCCTTTTTTTCCAGGATCAATTTATGGAATGGTACAAATTATACTAAAATTTACATAAGCTATGACTTTCTATTCCTGATGCTTGCCATTAATGGATCTTTCAAAAACTAGTACCATTTAAAAATTATATCTTCCCTACTTAGAATTTCCACAAAGGACAGCAAAGCTTTTTTTTTTTAATTTTTTTTTTTTTATCCCCTGAATGCATAGCCACAGTTTTATGTATGCTTTAGGATTAAAATGGCTTTAGGGAAAGAACATGTCTTCCAGTTTGTATTGCTGTTGTGCTGATTTTCAGAATCTCAGGATTTCATACGACTTTCAAAAGGATTACTTTGAAGAGCAACTAACTACTGCGAATGGATCTTACCATGTAGTAAAAGCCCTGAAAGATGGTGTTGTGGTGATAAATGCATCCCTGACTTCCATCATTTATCAGGTAGGAATTAAAAGAACGATCATTGTATCCTAAGAACACCAAAGAGGCTTGGCTGACTTTTTTTGTTTTTGTTTTTTAATAAATATCTTATTTATTAGGCCGGGCGCGGTGGCTCACGCCTGTAATCCTAGCTCTCTGGGAGGCCGAGGCGGGTGGATTGTTTGAGCTCAGGAGTTCGAAACCAGCCTGAGCAAGAGCGAGACCCCGTCTCTACTAAAATTAGAAAGAAATTAATTGGACAACTAAAAATATGTAGAAAAAATTAGCCGGGCATGGTGGCGCATGCCTGTAGTCCCAGCTACTCGAGAGGCTGAGGCAGGAGGATCGCTTGAGCCCAGGAGTTTGAGGTTGCTGTGAGCTAGGATGACGCCACGGCACTCTAGCCCGGGTAACACAGTGAGACTCTGTCTCATAAAAAAAAAAAAAAAAAAGAAGAAGAAGAATAAATATCTTATTTATTTATTTTTTAGAGATGGGGGTTTCACTATGTCACCCAGGCTGATCTTGAACTCCTGGCCTCAAGTAATACTCCTACCTCAGCTTCCCAAAGTGCTGGGATTAAAGGCATGAGCCACCAAGCCCAGCTTTGGCTGGCTTGATTTGCAAGCAGATATATGGCATATACCACTTGTATCTTTTACAAAAATAAAAAGGGTACTGATAAATAATGCACTCAGTAGTTTATACCTCTACAAATTTTCTGTTCCAATCTTGGCTATTGTACATATAATATCTGCATTTGTAGTCATTGTGTATATATCGTTTGGGGTTCCTTTAAAAATTATTTCATATGCATATTTCCATGTGTCATCAGATCCACATAGGGTACTTTTTATTCTAAAGATCTAAAAAGTCAATATGCCATTTTGTTTACCCATGCCCCCAACATTGAACTTTTGCATTATTTCTAGTTTTTTGCTATTGTAAATGGCATACATTTCTTTCCTTTTGGTTAATTTCCATATTTTGTAATACCAGAAATGGAATTAGTTACTGGATAAGGTGGTAAGGAGTGAATCTGTTTCTAATGTCTCCAAAATGTATAAGCGTCTTGATTTTTAATAGCTTGCCAAACCTGCTTCCCTCTCCCAAACCTACTTTTTCTCCAATGCTCCTTTCACGCAGTTATTTAAGACAAAATCCCGAGAGTCACCCTTGACTCTGCCTTCTCCCTTAGCTTTTATCTTCAATACATTATTAAGTACTATGTTAATTCTTCTAAATGTCTCTCAAATCCATTCATTTCTTACTATTTCCACTGCTGTCTTTCACCTAGACTTCCAAGTGGCTTCCTAACTGGTATTCCTAACTCCAGTCTTGTCCCTAGGTAGAATGATATTCCAAAAATTACAAAAATGATGATGTGTTTGTTTACCTTTTAAAATTCCTTTGATGGCTACTGATTTTAAGGCAGAGTTTAAACTTCTTAACATGGTTTTATAGGACCCTCTATGAGAGAGATCACAAACTGGTAGCCTACAAACTATCTCGGTTTATAGTCTTGCTTTTTATTTTGGCAAGTAAATTTATTTTTAATTGGGAAATTTCAAATAAAACCTAAGATTTCTGATCTTCTACAAAAGTATGAAGATCTGACAAAGATCAGCCAGAACAGATAGTGGCCATACCATTTAGACTGTACTTTTCAGTCTGCTGTAGTTCATACTATTCCCTTTTGTCTTATATCCAGCTTAATAAACCCAGTTTATAGTCTCTTCTGGGCACTTGTAGGCATTTGAGTCTATAGCTCTACCTGAATGATTGGCCCCTGACAAATTCTGCAGCCTCAGGCCTTGGCACTTTTCCTCTCTTGTACTTCAACCATGCTAAACTTTCAGTTCCTAGAAAATGCTTTGCTCTTTCCGCCTCTAAGTTTTATTTTTTGTTTGTTTTGTTTTTATTAACAAATGCAGTTCCTTTTGTCTACAACATTTTCTCCCTACTCAATGTACAGGTCCATAATATTCATCATGTTAATATTTGCTTCTATGACTATGTCTAATTTGTTCACAGCTGTTTCTTTAACATTTAATAGAGTAACTGACATATAGTTGGTACAAATAAATATTTGTTAAATGAACATATGATATTTGGATTAGTTGTGGTCAGGTATGAATCTACAGTCATTATTATTATTATTATTATTTTTGAGACAGTGTCTTGCTCTATTGCCTGAGCTATAGTGTAGTGATGTCAGCCTAGCTCACTGCAGCCTCAAACTCCTGGGCTCAAGCGATCCTCTTGCTTCAGCCTCTAGAGTAGCTGGGACTACAGGTGCGCACCCCCGTGCCCAGCTAATTTTTTTTTTCTTTTTGGTAGAGATGGAGTATCACTATTGCCCAGGCTGGTCTTGAACTCCTGGGCTCAAGCAATCCTCCCACCTCAGCCTCCTAAAGTGCTAGCATTATAGGCATGAGCCACTGCACTTAGCCTTTCTATATATTTTTTGGCAAGGAACCTTGCCAAACTCACTTAATAATTCTAAAACTCACTTAATAATTCTAATAATTTATCTGTAGAGTCATTTGGATTTTCTATCATATAGTCTACAACTATTGACAGTTTTGCTTCTTTCTTTCCAATCCTAACCCAATACCTACCTCTTTTTCCAGTCCTGATACCTTTGATTTTTTTTCTGGCCTTATTCACAGTCTCTAATACATTGCAAATAGAAATGGTAATGGTGGACATTTTTGTCTTGTTTTTGATCTCAAAAAGGAAGCTTTTACCATTTCTCTTAAGTATGATATTTGCTTAGGTTTTTTTTTTAGATACGCTCTATCAAATTATTTAAATTTTCTTCTCTTCTTAGATTCCTATATTCTAGATGATGGATGTTGTGTTTTATCATATATTTTTATGCATCTATTAAGATGATTCTGTGATTTTTTTCCCCCTTTTTCTGCTATTGTGGTAAATTGCAGTGATTGGTTTTTGATGTTAAACCAATTTTACATTACTAGTTTAAACACAATTTAGTATTTATGTATTACTTCTGAATATTGCTCATTTCTGTTTGCTAATATTTTGTTCAGAATTTTTTGCATTCCATAATGATTAACGATGTTGAGTATCTTTTTTTTTTTTTTTTTTTTATGTGTATATCTTCAGAGAAATGTCTCTTCAAGTCTCTGCCTGTTTTTAATTTGAAAAAAATGCACAAGAAAGCCATTTTATCATAGTTTGCTGCTGAGAAAACTGGAGCTCAAAGATTTTGAGTTTTTTTTTTTTTTT